AGCGTTCCAAAAGTGGAAGGTAGCGGTCAATCGTGAGGGGGTCCAGCCACCTTAAGAGTATTAATGTGGGGGGAAACGGTGCTTGAAAAGGCGTCGAGAAAAATGGCAGAGACGCCTCATAGCTTGCATTGAAGCCGAGTACAAAAAATGGTTTCTTGGGATATTTAGCAGTTGCATTGTGGAGATCCGTAAGGAAAGGTATTGTAGAAGTGGTTGCAATGACATCGACATTGGAAAAGTATGAAGTTCTGGTATGGATAGGCAGAGTGTTACAGCTTATGCCTCGCGAAAGATAACAGTGCTGGTAGCCAGGCTTTGGGAATAGTATAAGCCTCTTGGATCGCGTGCATGACAGTGGTGCGTTCGGGGAGACGTTTTGAAAGTTGGGCAAAGAATAGGCAAAGTCTGGATTTTGGTTTCTCAGGGCAAAAGATGCGTGTGAGCTTACCTGTTGATGGGGTAATCTAATGTATTGAGTTGGAGCCTGACAAGAAATATAAAGACATGGCCTTACAAGGCCTTGCAACTGCAATGAGCACAACTGTGAACCTTTAAGGAGGATCCGTTGGAGGCCAAGTCTGGATTTTGGGTTCACACGGCCAAAGACTGCGCGTGATCTAAGCTGTTGATTGGTAAGGTATTATATTGAGAGAGAGCCTGATTAGAAATAAAAAGACATGGCTTTTCTAAGTCTTGCAATTGGATCCATTACAGGGCAAGTCTGGATTATGTGTTCACACGAGCCGATACTGCATGTCATCTTAACTGTTGATAGTAGAGTACTGAGAAGGAGCCTGACAAGAAATAAAAAGAACATGGCCTTACTAGGCCTTGCAATTGGAATGAGCACGACTGAAAACCTTTAAGGCGGTTCCATTAGAGGGCAAGTCTGGTTTTTGGGTTCATAGGGCCAAAGACAGCGCATGATCGTAAGTTTTGATGGGTAAGCTCATGTATTGAGATGGAGCCTGACAAGAAATATAAAGACATGGCCTTACTAGGCCTTGCTATTGGAATGAGCACGACTGAAAACCTCTAAGGTGGATCCATTGGAGGGCAAGTCTGGATTTTGGGTTCATAGTGCCAAAGACGACTGCGTGTGATCATAGCTTTTGATGTGTAAGCTCATGTATTGAGATGGAGCCTGACAAGAAATATAAAGACATGGCCTTACTAGGCCTTGCTATTGGAATGAGCACGACTGAAAACCTTTAAGGTGGATCCATTGGAGGGCAAGTCTGGATTTTGGGTTCCTACGGCCAAAGACTGTGCGTGATCTTAACTGTTGTGCAGGAAGCTCGGCCGAAGGCTAAGGGAGAGGTTAGTCAGCCCATAGACTATAGATGATTAACACTGTTTTGATTAACCCCTTGCTAAGACCAGCAAACCTGATACCTCGATTGTGTCGTTCATGGGTTATCACTCATGGACACCCTTTTCCATGTTGGACGGGTTTTGAAAAAGTGACGTATATAATTATACTTTTTACGCAAACTCAATTGGGTAAAAATCAAAATTGAGGTTCTTCCGTTTTCTTGCCCTTTAATTGACAAATAACCTAAAATTAGTAGTTAAACTGATGTTTCATTATTTTGGTTAATATTATATGCAGCGCTCGTAGACTTTCGGCCGAAATTAAAAATTAGCAGTTTACTGACAATTCAGGGGTACCCCCATTGGCACCCTCTGCTGAGAGTCATGAAAAACATTTTTTATATCACAAAAAAATTTCAGTCATTTCATGCTTAGTTTTCGTGATATGCAAAAGGTCATTCTGTGGCTAGTTTTTCAACTCTTCCCACATGAGAGAAAAAGAGTGATTTGTGAATTTGATTTAAACTTTTGTTTTGGTGGCCTTAGTTATGTAGTCGCACTGTAAGACAGCTTTTGTAGAAATATTAACTTGCTCATTTTTCAATAAGGAGACATGACAAGGAAAAACTTACTTTTTGTTCTGCTCATCTACACGAGAAAATATAACGAGCCGGGGGCTCTGTTTACCCCCTCTCCTTCCTTCCCTCCCCTCCCCACCTAAATGACCATTACGCCGATACATATAGTACTTCAAGGTACGGTCGTAGGTTTCGTAACTCCCTCCATAGGTAGCCCAAGCGTATACATTGCGTATACAACTTCTACAGCGTGTTTTGGTTGTTCTTGGCTTCACTCTGAGCGAATTTCGTTCAATCTAACTGCAAAATTCGCTCAGAGTGAAGCTAAGAACAACCAAAACACGCTGTAGAAGTTTCAGTGAATTTCATTAAAATTCAATGAATGAAAATAAAAATTTATGTAGTTCCATATATTGTATAGTAAATCAGTACAATGTATACACTTGGGCTACCTGTGAAGGATGTAGTATAGTATACTGGGGTTTGGGGGCTTTGGGGCATGCAATATTGCGAAAATTGCGAAATCTAGAAGCTCGGAAATGAAATTTCCATCGTAACAGTCGGTTTTCATGCGAGGGACATCAATGCATTAATGACACTAAATATTTCAATGTGACTTATTTTATTCATAACATCTTAGAACATGTTTTCATATAAAAGTGATACATAGGAGTACGGCTTAATAAAATATCTATATCTGTATATATATATACAGTCAATGTCATTAACGATGTCCACCGAAAAAAGACATTTTAACACTTACACTTTTAAACATTCAGACTAAAAGAAATACATGTATCACGTGTTTCATTATATATTCTTTGCCTCGTGTGCGTCAGCCTGAACTTTAAATGTAAAATTCAACTCGTGAATCGAAAATCCAGAATGCCCCGACCATTTAGTGAGGACAAGAGAATATTCTCTTGGTGAGAATTTAAGATGGACATTGGTATTTCAGCGTTCGAAGAAACACGTGATATTTCTTTTAATCTAAATGTGTAAAAGTGTAAATGTCTTTTTTCGGTGGACATCGTTAATGACTGTAGACTGTGTGTGTGTGTATATGTATATATAGCCTTTTCAGAAGTTGTTGATTTTTGTATACATTTTCTATGATCCTCTTCATCCCAAACTCCTTCTCCTTCAGGTTATGAGCCCCCCCCCCCAAACAAAACTGGTACGTAGACCCCTTGGACTGAGTCCCGAGAGTTTTTTCTGGGGGACAAAACCATGGGTTTTTTTGACATAAGAAAAAGCGGCCTCCTTTCTTTGTCCCCCAGATGCAATTTCACTCAAGTTCCAAGTTCTTCCTGAGTTTCCTGTCATATTCAGGGTTTCTACTTTCGAATTGACCGAAACTGGTAATTTTGGTCGCAAAAAATGAAACGCCAGATTACATGATAATTGAAACAGGAACTCAGTTCAATAAATAAGGTCTTTTGTCATAAACAGGGTCTACAAATTTGAGGGGTTTTTTTGTCATAAACAGGGTGAACCTTGATCAACTAATCAACTGAGTAGCCACAGCCAATCAATGTCAATAACAAATGGTAAAGGTTAATCAATCAGTCTCTCATTCATGAATGGTTGGATATCCTTGGTTTGTCATACTCTCCAGAATTCATCAATAAACCATCAGTGTCATTGGTACCACTGATATAGAAATGAAGGAATTTTTGTAGTCTGTGCTAGAGTGATGTGAAAATAGACTAGAAGTCCAGTCTGTGGTAGCGTGATGTGAAAATAGACTAGAAGTCCAGTCTGTAGTAGCGTGATGTGAAAATAGACTAGAAGTCCAGTCTGAGGTAGCGTGATGTGAAAATAGACTAGAAGTCCAGTCTGTGGTAGAGTGATGTGAAATTATACTAGAAGTCCAGTCTGTGGTAGCATGATGTGAAAATAGACTAGAAGTCCAGTCTGTGGTAGCGTGATGTGAAAATAGACTAGAAGTCCAGTCTGTGATAGCGTGATGTGAAAATAGACTAGAAGTCCAGTCTGTGGCAGCGTGATGTGAAAATAGACTAGAAGTCATTTAGTGGTCATCATGCTAACACTTACTCATTGATAATTAAAATGACTATTTAATCATAGTGAATTTATAATTTAAGATTTCATCCCACACCATCGAAAATACAGCCAATCAAATTGCAGAAAAGCCGATATATATATTTGGCAGTATTCTCAACTTTCACATCCACATAATCCTTTGCGTCTTTGGGGGGTAACCAGAGGGTAAAAACCCACTGATCAGACAATGTTGAAAATACCTTGTTTGGTATCCAAAGATAAAATGAAGAAGTAAAAAACACAAAAAGATAGAAGCTTGAAGACATTTAAGGAAAATTTTAAATTGTTTTTCGTAAGTCAATACATTTTCTGTAAGATCAAAACTCTTCATGATCTGTACACGCAAAAATAACTAGGAATAAACTGATAATCAGTATTGTACAGATAAAAGCAAGTAAAGTATAAATTCAATTAAGAAACCTTTCAATTTGGGACAGTTTTTTGATTGGTTACCCCCAAAAACGCAAGGCATTATGGGGATGTGAAAGTCGAGAATTCCACTGTTCCATCCCATGAGGCAATGCTGCTAGCCTAGGTCTATCTTTAATGATGTAGAATAAAATAGTCAATATACATCAATGCTTTCCTGTGGATACTAAGGAATATCCCACTTATTACTGGATAGCTTATTGGTATAGGAAAACACATTTCAAGTACAATTCGGAATTTATAGGTACGAGTAATTTTTTGAAAGTTTTCAAAATTGGACGAGCATTTAGGTGAGTTCAATTTTCAAAACATCACTAGTGTCTATAAATTCCAAATTATACAAGATAATTGTGCGATTTTTTGTTTATAATACACTCAACAAATTTGAGCAACTTACACTGGGACTCTACAGAGTACAAGTTGGGATATAATTGTACTCCTCTTGTCCAATCACAATCAAGTAATTTTGTAGAGAGTATTATAATATACATGTACACAATCACCAAAAGTGACTTGTGGGATATTCCATGGCATGCTTATCTACATGTAATCCATGAGAGTATAACATTACTAGTATTTATTTACATTCAAGTGCTCATGTGGATTCTCCAGTGATATCATGCTTGAGATCAATGTTACTACTAAGTCAGAACTCTACCCTCCTCCAGCCAGCTTAAATGTGTAGAGAATGTTGTTTGTTTGATTGATGAGACGGTTTGCACTAACATACACAGCATCAGCCCTGAAAACATGAATAAACATCACATATTATAAGAAAATAAAAAAAAGGCCACAGCCTTTAGAAAGCCTTCAATTTCTATTTCCCTGTAACAACCTCTGGGCTGATCAAACCACAGCATAGATAACTCACAGCAGGGCTGTCAACTCTCCTGGATAAACCGGGAGTCTCCAGATTTCGGACCGTGTCTCCCGGTCTCCAGATTAGAGTATCAAATCTCCCGGATAATCCCCGAAGCTGACCATTTCTTGTCTTGTGAGACTAGACTTTCACAACCATAAAATTCCTATTATTTCATGTTGTTTGTGTTATTTTATATCGCTAACAAAATCAAAACGTTCCTCATGAACTGTTCTTGCAAGCAGGCCATTGTAATATAAGCGATAATCTGATTGGTCAGAAATAAACCAATCACATCAAATGTTACAAAGCAAAAGACATCTTTTCGCGTGCTTTTTGACGTGCTGTGACATCATGTCCCTTCCCTATCAATTCTCCAGATTTGAATATCTTGGGGGTTGACAGCCCTGCACAGATCACATTGGAATTGAGTGGGATTTGTTAACRGAGGAAAACTGAAGAGAACCAGAGAAAAACCCTCGCATTAAGGGAGGAACAAGACCACAGGGGTGAGTGCACTGCACCTACACCACCCTTGATTCATGTTAGATTAATCATATTTTTTTGGAAGTGACTTACTTTGCATCCTTAAAGTACTGTTTTAGAGTGTCACTAAAGCTCTTGGAGTACTTCACAAACTCCTTTTTGTTGTGCTCCAGCACCTGAAAATATAAATCATTATTAGTGACAGTCATATTTTGGCTGTCTAAAAGCCTGGGTACATGTAGTACATATATCAAAATGGGTGAGCCTCTTTCTCCAGCAGAGGAAAGATGAAGTAGTTAATTAAAGTGTCATATGGTAATGACCGTGACATATGGGGTGTAATCATTTAATATACAAAAAATTATGAACAAAGATAAATTGAATCTGAAATATGTCATTGTTTTACCCATTGCTCTTATAGAAATTATTTCAAGTTATTTAGTTTAGGAGCCTGTGTTTCATATTACAAGGAACAACAAATAAACAAAAATGCCTCCTCGTGCATCACAGTCATTACTTAATTGTATAGAAAAACCTTTATAACTTCAAGAAGCTGCACTCCAACTATGAAATTTTTTCAGGTTATTCAATATCTTTCCCCATGTAGAATCAATACTGAGAATACTTTCAGAAGTGTAATAGGCACTTTAAGTAAGGCAAGGTTCTGTCAAGCCAGAATTGGAAATTGTCAAGTTAAATCTTTGCCTTGCCAGTCATTTTGACTAGAAGAGTTGAGTCAGAAACAAAGTATGACAAAACTAAAACCAATTCAACCAGTCATCATGACTGGCAAATAACCAGCTGTCATTTTAAGCCCTGATAGGGAATTACATAGTCATTAAACTATAAGTAAATATTTCATACAACTGAATAAAGTGGGTAATCGTGTACTTCATGACCAACGGAAAAGTGTCAGTCCATTATTGCCCGACTGTTGGTTRAAAGTCGCTCGACTGTTGACCAACAGTAGGGCAACAGTCGACCGACACATGTCAGCTGGTCATGAAGTACGTGACTACCCACTTGGTTGACACTTGTCGGTCGACTATCGCCTGACTGTTGGCGAACAGTTGTCCAAAGAAAGTGAGCTAAGTGAGATGCAACACAATGTGAGACAGTGTACTTTAGATATTCATCTACTACTAATCTGTAGTACTGTATGTACAAAATACTAGTAGATAGGTAATATTTTCACCAGCCAAAATGAAGGATAATAATTATTTACCTTTTTGTATTGTGGCATCTTGCCGACATTTTGACAATTCTTCAACACTTCATTGACAGCATCAAGAAGATCTTTAATAGCACTAGCAATATCCCTAGCAACCAGAAACAAGTTCAGCAGTTAGATTCTTCTTGATAAGCATGCCATAAAGCTATGTACAAGCTATTACTAATAAAGATAAAGCAAATAAAATGGCAAGGACTAAAATACAGGTCAATGGCTATACATGATGACCAGCCACAAGACTGTGGACCAAGAGACATTTGGCCAAACGAGTGCCGATATTTGCCAGACTTTGTCCATCAACAGTATGTTATTTGTAGTCCTGAAACACTATTTTTACTCTAGTTTTTGATATTGTGCGAACTCAGTAGTTGTGAGCTGCAAACTGAAATTTGGTATTACTGCCATCAATCAAAAATAATCAGTCAGTACCTTTTAAATTTATGACTGGCGGCAGTAAAAACCAATCTAAAAACAAACTGATGAAATGTTTAAGTTCACGGGGTATCAAAAGCCACAGTAAAGCATTTTTTATCGATACAGTAAAAACCCACAAATTATAAGAACCAAGAGTTTTTGAAGTTAGCCTAAAAAGGTTCTTACATAAATGGTGTTTACTTCAAAATTAGGCTATTTAGGTTCTTGTTTAAGTTCTTGTTCAGGTTCTTATTTAGGTTCTTATTTTCTTAAGAAAAAAAGTGACTCATTTTTTATATTATAAATTATGCATATTGTTTTCCAATTGACTGCAATCTGAGCATATACAAACCATGTATGCCTTGTAAAGCTACAGTGTATGCAATATCGTTGGAGTTCGTCACTGTTTGTAATTTCGTTTTTTTCTTTGATTTATAGTATTTTAGTTTTAATTCTATTTGATAAAATAAGAACCTGCTTAGAAATTTTTGCCTAAAACAGGCCTTTACGTAAAGTGGTCTAAAAACTGCTTTAAAGTAATATTAATAAGTAATAAATAAATATATTATGTTAATTATTACAAACTTACTTGATTGTTTGCAGAAATTTAGATCTATCATAGATTTCTGCTGGTATCTTTGACAAAATTGTCTTCAATGCTGAAAAAATTCAAATGACAGCCATTTGTATATTTAACAGATCTATCATACAGCTGTATACTCATTGACCACTGAAGCATTTTTCAAATTCTCAACTTCACCTTTCACCACATTACACTAAAACAACTTCTGCCCTGATCAAAGTCAGGGCCCAGCTAGCTCACATATTGAATTGGAGTTCAGTGTTTTAGGTTTATGAGTTGATAATGTTATAGTATACCAAGTCCAGGAATTAAACCCAAGACCCCAGAGGTGAGAGGTGAGTCCATTAGTACTAACGACATCACCCTTGAGTTGATAATGTTATGCCACCATTCAGTTGATTGTTACCTATGTACAGGTACATGTACATGTATATTGAAGAATCACTATTTCTCTTTACCAGTGACAACCTCCAATTATACTTTCTTATTCTTATTTTATTTTATTGATTTCGTCACCAAAGTAAATACAACACATTACGCCTGATAAAAATTATGAACAACACAGCAAAACAAAGCAAAAAAGAAAGAAAAGATGAGCATGTGACATGAGGTAGTAATAGGACAGTGTCCCAATAAAGCATTTCTTCAAGGTTGCGTGCATATCCAACTTGACGGGCCACAACATTGAAAATGCAAATTCAGTAAAATTGAGAAGCCAGTTTTATATTTAAAGAGGAGAATAATCAATTTTATGAATTCTTATTGAAAAAAAATTCATAGAAATAAATGATAATTCTCATCATAAAGCTCCAGCTCTGATATCATGGCCAGTCAAGTTCCTTAAATTTGAATGCTCACACAACCTTGAGAATATGGTCTATTGACAACTGCCCCCTTAATTCCTCCTCTTAGAGCTTACGAAACCCGACCTCATTAGCTACCCATGCTTTTCATACAGTACAGCTTTATTATTCATTATCCTCACATATTCAATAGCAAATATTAGTTAGTAAATATTGATTTCAGACATTGAATTGTTTCAGGTTAAAACATTTTGGGTCAATACAATCAATGTATAAGATAGATATCGTACTCAAATGTAACAATTGTTTGAAGGCAATCAAGTGAAACTCTAATATCTGCTATTTTAGGTTTGCCCGAAAATTTATTCCAAAAAGTCCTTTTCTTGTTTGTTTGTTTACCTTTTGCTTGTTTGGTCAATTTTACGAACTCTTTTTCCTGTCTTGTCGTCATGTATTCTAGAGTTAAAAATACAATATGAGTATTCATAAAATTTTGCTGTTATCTTTCACAAAGTCTCTGTTTATTGTTGTTTGTTAATGTGTAAATATCTTACCATATATATCTTATCTTATCTTATACTTGGATAAACGATTTTTAAATATATATATAGGATAGGTATTTATTTATTTCAATACGTTAGTGATACATAATTGTAAATTTTCATTCATTTAATTTTTTTCAATCGTTAAGCACTATTGGGCTTTTTATGGAAATAGGGTTATATAGATAAATAAAGTTATTATTATTATTATTACCATCTGATTCATATGCTGCACAGCTAAGAAGGGTTTCATTCATATTCACTTTCAGAGACTCTGCGACAAACAAATAAAGTTAAAACGAACATCACATTTTGATAGCCTGAAATAATTACCTCAATAATTACCTTTGATAAATATCAAAGAAAATAGTACTAACCTAACCAAGGAAAAGTAGAGAACCCGAAGGGAAAAAACTCAAATCAAGGGAGAGACCTAACAAATTTTGCTCTCATTGCTGTCATATCTTAGCTGATATTGATGGTTTTCACGGTAACCATATTGGAGGAACTTAACAAAAGAATTGTCAATGAATTCTCTTGTTATATCCTCCAACATGGCCGCCGTGTCTTTCGTTATCTAATTCTCTTGGGAATGGTTAAAAACCATCAATTTGACCAATTCTTGTCAAAATTGATATGTAAACGTCTTTTTGATCGTCTACAGAAATTGTAGATCAAAAATAATTAAAGTCAAAATTTATTTTTTTGTGACGTAACAATTGAGTACTCTATTATACTACACTACCCTTGATTCCAAAAGTAGTAGTTTTACTGCACTTACTTTTAAAGGTAAAACAATGGACATTCTGTCATTTGGGAAGTAATATTTCAAAAACCTCATGCTTCGTGTTTCATTAGGGTTTCCAAACACGAGAAAACATTTTAAGCACAAGGCCGTAGGCCGAGTGCTTTCATTGTTTTCGAGTTTTTGGAAACCCTAATGAAACACGAAACATGAGGTTTTGGAATTACTTCTCTAATGAGTTAATGATTTATTATGCAGGAAAAGATGTTTGCTTGTTTTTATTGTGTTATATTAATTTAATATACTTAGAGCAGTTGCATGGGAAAAACATTAACAACATATAGATCCAACCCAATTTTCTCAGCAAATTCCTTGTTGGCATTGTAACACACTAGACTATAACGCAAAGGGTCCCAGGTTTGAGACATGGTAAGTCCAAGGTAAAAAGAAAATATGATATTATTGCAGAAATGTAATGAGTTTGAGAAATAAAGTTTCCTCGTCATATATCATAAAAGAAGTGCATTATTAAACTGTTGTTATGAAACCAGTCTATGAAACATTTAAAAAGCTGCCATACCTTTTGTCAAGATACCACTGACTATTTCCTGTGTTATTCCAGGGTTTTCCATTTCTGCCTACAGAATGAAACAAAGTTAATTAAATATTAAAAGACACTTCCCAATGATCGTCAAGTCGTGCTCTCCCTAATTCATTGACAAGACAATATATTAAGAACCTGTAAATCCAGTAATAAAGATCATACCTTTTGAAAAGCTTTCCTGATTTTCTGTATTGCTTCGGCATCTTGGTATTCCGCCAACATCTATATTTGCATCGACAACAACAAAACTCTTTACAAAACGTTTAAGCAAGTGTTTGAGCTTATATCTTCGATTTTTGCAATTCGTACATCTCTACGCATGTTTCTTTCGGTATAAGAATCTAACCATTTTACATCGATAAAAATAGCAAGAAAGTGAAAATGAATAGTTTGTTATAGCGAACGAGAATCACAAAAACAAGTAAAGTCACAAAAAACAAGTTCCAATACCTCGTCAATAACGGGTCGTATCACAACACTTAGAGCCAAGTTCGGTATAATGGTTCCTTCTACAGCCTCTGATGCCATTTTTTACAGTGTTGTAAGGGTTTGTACGAAGAAAACTGGGTTTTAAAATCAATATTTTTTTCTTACAACGCCATCGAGCACTTCTTGTTGACCTGGCTACCAGGCCTATGACTTAACCCACAGGGAACCCAACGATAGCAATCTCATTCGATTTAACATTTATTTTTTAGGACTGGGGGTGGACCGGAGGGAACCAGGGGAGTGCCATTAAATTTCTACTCAGTCAAAAAGGGGGGTCATCAAATATTTCATACTACACAAAGGGACAAGAATTCAACAAATTTCAAGGGGAGGATAACATTTTTTATGCTGGCAAAAAGAGGGGGGGTCTAAAGATTTTACCCTTTCTCCAAAAATGATTGCTCCCTAATTATTTCTTTTTTTCTGTTTTGGTGAATTTATTTACATAGCAGACAAACCTGCTTTTCCTGAATTGAGGTAATGTATGTTAACGAAATATGAAAAGCCTTTAATTGCATGGAGTATATTCCTWGATTTCACTTTTTATAATTTCCTGTCTCGTATGGAATATTCATCAGCTGTATCATTTTATAGTGGGATACAAATCAGTATACATAATGCTTTCCAATTAGGCCAACTGTCACTCACACACACTACCACGACTTAAAAATGGGTTAATATTTACTGAGCCACAAGTCTAAGAACGGCCAGGTAAATATTTACCAATAACTTGCCTTTGCCAAATAATTGTTAAGTAGTGGTAAAAACGAATATGTTGATTTATTTTTTTGAATACTTATACAGTATAAGTATCTATTTGGTTTCATTACTGTCAACACATCACATGAGCTTCTTTATTCACAATTATTTTCATTATTCACATTTATTTTTTTACAAAGTAATAGACTAATCTTGGACATACAGTAGAATATTAGGGGCCATTCATTTTTTAACCTGGGGGGGGAGGGGTAGGATGTGTGGGGGAGGCATTAAAACAAATCTGAGTGGCACAGCACATAATGAATAGAATTTTGGAAACTTAGGCAGGCACCATTACTTATGCAGCAATAGTTATGAGGACCAGATTTCTTGTATGTTTTACCACACATACCTATCCTACCATCCCCTCCCCCAATGAAAACGAATAGTAACTTACTGTAAGTATCAACAAGGGAAGAGGGTGTGTGAGCATGCATGGGTATGCACCCATATACATAAAAACATTTTCTTCCATTTTTGTAAGCATGCGAACTCAGAAACTGCGAGCTGCAAGCTGCAATTTGGTTTTTCGCAACTGCCAGTCAAAAATAAAAAAGGTACCGATTGTTGGTTGTTCACATGTTTATAAAAATGGCAGTAAAGGAAGCATCTTTAGTTCCCTTTTTTATTAGCATTTTATAGTCAATGTTTATGTTAGTTTGAATATCTATCTCCTGTTAACAGTTATTTACTTTTACTCATTCAAGGTAGGGAGGCTTGATAGGGGTGGGAGGTAACAATAGCAAAAATAGTTTTTTCATTCAAGTCTAATTCATCTTAATGAAACACCATGAAACTAAACAAACACTAATAGGTTATTTGAAAGCAACAAATAACCAATCATGGTAAATCTGACATTATATATTTCATCTTCATAATACTGCACCGGGCCATAACTTGCAGTCATGCAATAACAATTACCTGACATGTGAAACGAAAACAAGTTCAAGTTTTCCAAAAGAACCATTTTCTTTGATGTTATTCATAAAATATTGAGTACAGACAATAATGGCTACGAGGAGTACTCTTAGCAGTGGAAGGGAGGCCTGCAGATTGAATAGTTTTAGAAGACTATTACACATTATACTAATATAGGCTTTGCATCATCACGTGACGGCAGCCATGTAAGATGGCTGGAACAATATAATCGTTTCATGAGAAAGAATTCAATTGCATAGAGCAAAGGAATTTTATTGTTCTGACATCTAATGTCAGGCAGTGTGAGCTGTATTATGGGCACCAGCATGTGATGGTGCAAACCCTCTATGGTTGGGAGATATGGTCTGTATCAACTATGGATAAAGGCTCCCAGACTCTCTCTCTCTCTCTCTCTCTCTGAGCATCTGCTATAGCATCTCTTATAGTTTAAATTCTGTTAACTACTGATTTACTTTGGTTTTCCATCATCTCCACAATCTACAAGTATTGTCTTTACTTCCTGAAGTCCAAGATAAAAATCACAGTATTAGTTTATTAAGTTGCAACTAACAGCTGAAATGTGTTGGCTATTACATTAAGTGGACATTACTTGTATAAAATAATACATAGGCATCATGTAGTTTGTCATTAGCAACATTTATTACATTTTTTGAAGATTTATTATCAAATAATACTCGGCTAGTGCTAATAATCAATTAAAGATTGAGGTTGAGCATATGATAAAATTATCAAAATTGAAGCAGTGGGAGCATGGTTGATATTTGCAGCTAATGCATCACCTCTCACTAATGCCACCCAGGTTTGATTCCCAGGCTCAGTGTCTTATGTGAGTATAGCCTGCATAGCTAGGCGTTCCTTGTGGGTTTTGGGAGGTCTTGGGCAGGAGAGAAGAGGAGAGAGGGAACGCCTGCCAGCAGACCTTATGATTTTGAAAAATGCCTCCTAATTAGATATGTATGGTTAACAATAAATCTCCACGAACTGTCCTCATTTCAGGCTCGAGATTAAAATACCTAAAAAGTTTCAAGGAAAATAAAACTTTGATATTATATTGTCAACATATTGCAGCAAACGTTGAGAAACTTTGAAAATAAATTCATCAAGTGGTTTTGAATTTACGAACAATTGTTAATTATCATAATAATATAGTCCATTTTAAGATTAGATCATACTCTGAGAGCTTCTCGTCTTTCAAGGTCACATCAACTAAAGATGTCTGCTTTTAGAGCAAGCTATTTTGCCTTTATACTTTTCAGTGGAAAGTCCACAACCACAGAGCATTGCCTTTTTGTGAGAGAGATTGCTTTACTCGAACTAACAGGCGGGCAAAATGTTAAGCTCTTTCCCAAACCAGTAGGCAAAACAGCCAATACATCTCGATTAGATGCCTAGATTTTTACTGAATAGCATCTTTATATTCTTCTTTCAGCTAAAATGAAAGCTCTTCAAGCGATAAAGAAGCCCTGAATAAAGCTTCTTTCGAGTAATGCCCGAAAACCTCTTCGAAGTCATCAATCTTGAATCTATACGATCAAGTAGCATTTGAATATTTTTCACATCCATCATATATTTACCGCACCAATCAGAAGCCCCCGTTCGTGGGCGAACGGGTTTTTCAAATATAATCATAAGGTCTGCTGGCAGGCGTTCCCTCTCTCCTCTTCTTTCCTCCCCAAGCCTCCCCAAAACCCACAAGGAACGTCTGGCTACACAGGCTAATATGAGTAGCTTTGTACTTGTTGGTTCTCTCCTTCAAGAGTTTTCTCTGAATTCTCAGGTTTTCCTCACTCATTCAAAATCAACTACAAAAGATAATAAATTTATAATGCAAGTTCACATGTTATCAAGATCTGGGTGAACGCTCTCTGCCAATATATCAGAAACGAGCTAGTGAGTAAGATATATTACCTGTTATGATAATATTGCCATCATAGTTAAATGCACAACTGAATATTTCATCTGCGTGTCCTTCTAGAACCTGTGAATTATTCGCAAAAAGTTGTTTTATATCAATAATTTGCCATGATTGCCTTAAAGGGAAGGAGTTTAAATAATCGGATACCTGACAACAATTCCCTGTGACCGGATCCCACAGTCTTGCTGATTTGTCACTGCTGGCTGTAAGCAGTCTTGTACCTTGAGGGTTAAAGACAATCTGTAATATAACATTCAGACCGGTTATCACATTATATATCAATATTACCATCTAGCAAACTTGAAATTAAACTTGTGTCTAACACATCAATAGAACCATGGACCAATTGCATCAATGACGATCTTAGACCACAGGCACATACCAGTGCATAATCTATTACATGCAGTATTTAGTAATAATAAGCATTAGGATTCTTTGCCGCAGGAATACTAGGTAAACAACAGGAAAATGTTGACCAATATTCAATTTATTTCTTAATATTCAGTGTTACCTTGGATATTTCACCCTCATGACCTTCTAGTTTGGAGAGGCAATGATGGCTAACTGCATTGTATACACGCCCAGTTCCTACAACATGAAAAGAAATTCTTTACAGTGTGTGGAAAACAGTCTCAGTTTCAGTCTCAGGAAAGAAGGAAGGAAGGAAGGAAGGAAGGAAAAAAGGAAGGACGGAAAGAAGGAAGGAAGGAAGGAAGAAATAAGCGAATGAAGGAATCAGACAACTGAAGACTTCAATTACCATCTGCTGAAGCTGTTGCAATGTATTGTCCTGAGTAGTCAAAGCATACATCTAGAACTTCATCATCATGTCCCCTGCAGCACAACAATAATATGATTGTGCATTATTATGGTAAGGATGTGCATGTATAACATCAAATTTCCCTAATGTTCCATGCCTACTTTAAATTTTCATTTAAAATCGTCCACCAGTATCCAGGTTTTCTGTTCCCCAATCCCCCCTCCCTGGTCCCCTCCATAAGACCCAATGACCTAAATTAGATCAATCCAGTGGTTTTTTCATGGTTCAATCTGCCATAGATCAACACAGAGGTTGTTTTAGGGTCCAACAAAGTTCGAAAGATCTAAGGGTCTACAACTTCTTTTTTGGATAAAAGAATCACTGAGATGTGAGAAATAAAAAATTATTTTTCCTTTTACACAAAGAGCTACCGTTCACCGTCAATAGACATATTAACTATCATGATACTGGGGTCACTGCGTTATCAGTATGATTTTTTTTCAAATAATAAACTGTTGTGTGTTAACCTCTTGAAATAAAGTTTATTCATTCATTCATTCACTATCATACCTTAATGTGCCTATACATTTTCCTGTTCCTACATCCCATATCTTGCATGTTTTATCCTATAATTGACAATTAAATACACACCATTTTAGCTTGCGTTTCAACATGACCATGTACCTTAAGGTAATCAGTATTACTAATTCATTAAATGCTATTTAACAATTATTCGCCGAAGGTGAAGTGATTATCATGGAATATTTACCAAGATGCAAGTCTTCAAGCGGCGAGGTAAATATTCCCCAATAATCACTGAGCCTGAGGCAAATAATTGTTTTAGTATAAATACACAGGCGATTCTTTCAAAAAAAGAAAAAAAAGAAGATAAAAGTCATTTTCTTTTGGTAACAGCAACAAAGCGGCTGGCCGCCATTTTGGATTTTCGCTCGAGGTGATTATTGTGTGATAGTGTGAGTTTCTTGACCAATCAGCGCGCTAGATTTTCTATAATCACCTGCGTATTTTTACTAAAGTGATATAACTATCATACAACTTTCTTTAAAGTTAGTAATAAGAGAATTTATTTATTTATTTGTAATTATAAATTGATTTTAATCCTACCATTGATCCTGTGACTATCAATGAACAATCAAAGTTGAACTGTGCATTTGATATTTCACCTCTATGACCAATAAGGGTGTGAACTCTCCTGCAAGTTAAAAACAACTCACATTTATTAATTTTTAGTCTGTGCATCAAGTCTTCATACAACAGAAAATTTTACATAATTACAGCTTTTCACAAGGTTTTGAAGATGCAAGCATTATTTTTTTATTTCATTTTATATATATATATATACATATGTAGTGTTTAAAAAACGAGTAGGAGTGTTTTATCAGGTATAAGAGAACGAGGCGTAGCCGAGTGCTTTTATACCTGATAAAACACGATCTACGAGTTTTTTGAACTGCTTAAAACACCCATGAACAATTTATAAGATTTTGGTTCAACTGGAGTCACCATACACGTCATGAACATGGATTTTTATACTTTGATAGAGATTTGACGTCACGGGCATGCGCAACTAGATTCAATAGAAGTTCCCACACGTTGGGTATTGCGTGCCAAGGCAAAGACAGGMACGTTAGTCAAAGATCATTAGGGTTGACTATGACCTTGATGAAGCTCTATATCTTCATCTAAACTTGGATGCATACTTCATCCCTGATGAAGTCATCCTCATAGTATTCGAGTGGTCTTTATATAAAAGATCATATGTGTCTTTATATAAAGACACATGTGTCTTTATATAAAATCACTTGAATACTAATGAAGAGGACTTTATCGGGTATAAAGGTTCATACACGTGACGTGTATGGTGGCTCCAATTGGACCATAAGCTTATGAATTATTAATGAGTGTTTTAAATATATATACACTCGATTGCAGAAACGTTGTAGCATACATTTATACATTTATACAAATATCTAATGAGATGCATAATGCAAAATAACCATTTTCAACGCTTAAAACCTTAAACCTGCTATGCTGATTGAGACTTAACTCCTGACAAGTTAATAAATGATAGACTACCTATTAATCAACTAATCATCAGGAGAAGAAGGCATCTAAGTATGCCCAATCATGTACCCTGACTAATAGTTTATTTGATTCGTTTCATGATTTTTATTTAAGTTAATTTCTTCATTTGAATCTTTATTTTATGACAGTAACATAATTAACCTTTCAGTAATCTAACTTATGGCCCTAGAAATATAAGATCACTTGATTACAAGGAAAAAAATGAACAAAAGAATATTGAAAAAACGAAAATACAATCTAATAATGTTCAACGAGCAATGAATAGACCTCTTGGGATGGCAGAACGCTAGAGAGGATGATGATAATGTTGAATAAAATGATAGCACCTTTACTGTGCATGCCTAAGATTCTGCCACCATTTTTTAAGTGTCTCTTCAGTGTGTAGCAATGAAAACAGTGGTAATAGTAACTGCAGCCCTAAATTCCTGAATTATTATTTAATATTGCACAATAATGTAAAGTACATTAGATTATCAGCGTACTGTACCTTCCAGTTCTTGTGTCCCAAACACTGACAGTGTGATCAAATGAACCAGTTAACAATTGATTTCCAAGTGAATTGAAGGAGCATGATATGATCTCAGCTGAGTGACCCTAAAAACAGTATGCATGCATGTTTGTCATGTCATTATTACCAGCAACCAGGAAGGCTGGGGAAAAATACCAGTGACAGCGCTTGCCTCTCAACCACTTCAACCCATGTTTGATTCTTGGTCTTGGTGTCGCAAGTGAGTTCAGGTTGTTGTTGATTTTTTCCATTGTTTGGAGGGTTTTCCTCCTGGTACTACAATTCTCCTCCCTCCATGATAATCAATATTCCCAAATTCTAATTTGATCTTAACTGAGATATTCTTATAACCTCTCATATCTCCTCTTACACTACAATGCAAATAAATTGGCTATTTAAATATTTTAAGCAAATGCTTCTCAGTACAGAATACTTACAGACAATGTTGACAGCTCTGCTCCAGTTTGTACATCCCACAGCTTAGCAGTGGTATCCATACTACCAGTTGCTACTACTGTGCTTTGAGGATTGAAAGCTAAGCATACCTATTACAAAGACAGTCTAGGAATTAGGCCAAACAAAAAAATAAGTGTGTTTCCTGTTGCACGACTGACCCTAATTTTCTTGCCAATTTTTGCCGATCCTAATATTTTTTTCATTTCCAAACGCACCACAGGGTTCCCAATAAGCTCATTTCCACTGTTGTATCAGTGAAAAAATTCGGGCATACCAACCCCAATTATTTTTCTCATGCAACAAGAAACGCGCTTATTTTTTTGTTTGGCATTACCAACAAGATGATTTTTCAGGAAGTGATGAAAATATGAAAACTTGTCACGTCGTCTTTCACCACTGTAAGTCCAAAGGTTCAGGTCAATGGTTTGAGCCCTGAGGACATCATAATTATGTGAATTGATTTTGTTTGATGTGTTGTTCTCTCCTTTACTACAGTAAGAGAGTTTTCTCTGGTTCTCCAGTTTCCTCCCTTCTTAAAAATCAACATGTGAGTTGAGCATAAGTTTTCATAAAATATTGAATGTCATGGTAGTGTGTGTGAGTGTAAAAGTATCCCATTTTAGTGCAAAAGTGCTAGAATGACTATACACTTTTTTGTTTTTATATGCTGTTTATCTTTCCTTAAAATGCTGGCTACACATCAGAATCCATCTACAACGTTACTTGAACCATGCTCTAATACAGCACAATAATTCTTGACCAATCAGAGTTCATGTACTGTATATAATTATTAATAATGAATCACTTTTTGTATAGATGGATGTACTTACTATTTCTGCAGTATGTCCTCTAAAGACATGATAACACTTTCCAGTCTCTGCACTCCATAACTTATTAAAAAAATGAATGAACAAATGAATACTGTAGAATCCTGGGTATAACTCCCACCCTTTGGCTAACAGAAATTTTCTCCTGGTTGTTTCTCATGGCTATAAGACCCCTCTATCAATGGAGTGTCTCTGTCCAGCTCTATAACACACACACAATCTGCTCAGATTACAGTTTTTCTGAGTAAATTCAAATTGAACAACAGCTATTGCTGCATGAAGGATGTTGCTCAATTGATCGAGATGGACATCAGCAAATAATTTTAATAAAATAGATTTCAAACTATGTTTTTCTCTCTAGCTCTTATAACTACTCCCCACCCCCCAAATTATAAGCCTCCCATCAATAAACCCTGATATGAAAGATATAAAGGCCTTGGGCTTATAACTAGGATTCTGTGGTCTGTGGTAGCTTACAGTAAAAAAATATACATTGACAGTCTTACCCTGCATGTCTTGTCAAATGATCCAGTAGCTATCTTATCCCTGAAACAAAGACAATCATGTTTCTAGATAACTCATCAAGAGTAGTAACGAGGAACTCCTGCGCAATGTGCAATGAGATGGATTAGACTGTCAGCAGCCTTTCAATTGAGATCGCTCAACCAAAATCAGTAGCTGCCATCCTGCATTTCTTCACAACTGTATAATAACTGCTTTTATTATAATTTTAGACTTGAATATAAAGTTTCTCGCGCCATGAATGGTCAAGTGACCAGTGATTCTGAGACGATAATCGCTGCTCAAGTGGTGATTATGAGGTTTCTCCAAGTTTACCAGAATGTAAGTAATACTAAAACATTTTTTATCCTGAATTTCACTTTTTCTCTCATATTCAAGTCTAAAATTATACTATTATATAAAACAATTTATTCACCTAAGGCTTAGTGATTATTGTGAATATTCAACAATAATCACTTCCCCTCCAGCAAATAATAATTGTTAAATATATACAAGTACACATATATATATTTATGTCAACAAATGTTTCCATGAAATATTTGAAATTGAACATGTGTGCTGATTGGCTGGCTACCATGCTTATATCAAAGGAAGGGGTTAATAAAGGGTATGCCTCTGCTTGAAAGATGATTGTTTTACAGAAAATACATTGGAAAGAAAATGTAGGGGTTGTTGAACTAGCTGTCCATTTAATGAAGGGTATCTGGCACTTACTGATAGGTGGTTCATTAATACACGGAACCTAGCTAGGAAACTACAACTTCATTTTAAACATACATCATAAATGATTGACAGTCAGGGTGCAATATTTTCACTCACCCAAAAGGATTATTAAATGCTATTGCATATACCACATTCTTATGTCCTTCAAGAGTGTGTAACTCCTCTCCTGATGCTGTGTCCCATACTTTGCAGGTCCTGTCATAACTACCTGTGATAAAACTGAATAAAAAAAACAAATGTTTTTGTTTATAATTTGGCTTAAGCTACAGATCATTGGCAGCAAAACTATTTTCAACAGACCTGTTTCACTGACACCTGGGTGTAATGTTTTCCCATTTCAGACCAAGTGTCATTCCCTAGAGTATCATTTCTTTGTTTAATGGTTGCACATGAGAAGACAAATGAATATGGATACAACCCAAACAAAGAATCTTATTGTCATGTAGACTGAAATGGGAAAACATTGCGCCCAATTGAATATGGCTTTCTTGACCATATAATAACATTGTAAGAATGTCAGTACCTATAAATAATTTATGTGTAATACAATGTACATGTTGTATCATATGATAAGTAGCATTTTAGATCTATTGGTTAGGAATCACAAACAAATCTGTATCCTCTACCGCCACCCGGTTAGCTCAGTTGGTAAGAGCGTCGGTCTGTTGTGCGGGAGGTCGTGATTCAAGCCTCGTTCGGACCAACACTCAGGGTCTTAAAATAACTGAGGAGAAGGTGCTACCTTTGTAATAATATCTGCAAATGGTTAGACCTTCAAGTCTTCTTACCTTGTTCCAGATTTATTGAAAGCTACATTCGTAAGTGGTAGAATATGTGCCCTGAGGATCTACAAATATGACAAAGGAATGATTTAGCTTTAGATAACTGTGTCATACTGTCGATATAACCATTAATACATATGAAATTGATTAGCCACTTTAATCCAGTGGAAGAAGAGCCACGCTGTGGAATCCACTGTTAATCCCATTATTATTTATTTTAGCCACTGCCATAGTCTTGAATTATTATCTCTCTCACTACTCTGGTGTGAGCTCATAGACCAATCAGAAGTTAGAAATGACCTGACATCAGAGCCCATTATTACTGGGATCTTTGATATTCTGCAAACTCATACATTTCAATGGCTTGTTGTGAAATTGATTTTTAATTTTAAAAGTTACCGAATGACTATTTGTAATTGATGACAGTGAAAAATCAAATTGCAGCTTGCAGCTTGTAACTACTAAGTTTGCAGAATCTCAAAAACTGCAATAACAGACTGCCTAATAAGAGTTAACATCAGCCTGCACGCAGGTCATGATTAGTTAAATGATTGTAAAACCATGTACAATTTGTATATGTAATAGGACTCCATGCTGTCCAATTAAGAAATAATTGGATGAGGAAAATTCTGAGGACTGACAAAATTGGATGAGGCCATAGGCCAGGTCCAATTTGGCAGTCAGAGGAATTTTTCGAGTCTACAGTAATTATTTCTTGATTGGGGAGCATGAAATCCCATTACCTATTAATTATATAGCTTTCTAATTAATCCCATATCAACAAGACCTGTCCAATTAAGAAAATAACTTGACAGTTACCTATAGTGGATTAATGAGAAGCATAATTATACCACTTATAGTACACTCAACAAAATTATTCGACTCTGATTGGTCGAGAGGAGTACAATTATAGCGTTAATTGTGCTCCGTAGGAGTACCGAATTAAGTCACTATGGCAACACGGCCAAAACAATGTCAAAACAATTATTTTCTATCATTTTGTACTTAAAAAACAGAAATAAAATTATAAAGCCGTAAGAACTAATCTTTTTTATGCATTTCAGTTGCGCGATGCACTGAAAATCGGCTGCCAAATAGACAAAGATGAACGGCGTCGCTTCGCTTTTTTTACTGAAATTTTGTTGAGTGAACTATAAACAAAAAATCGCACGATCTTCTCGTACAATTTGGAATTAATAGACACTCGTAATGTTTTGAAAGTTCTTTAATTGAACTCGCCTTGGAAGGATCGTGTAATTACAAGAACTTTCAAAACATTACTCATGTCTATTAATTTCCAAATTGTACTCGAGATCGTGCGATTTCCTATACTAATATACCATATAATTTATGATAAATATAACTCAACCAGCATGCTAAAGGGATGACAAAAGCAGGGATGACAAGAGCAGGGATGACCAGAACAGGTCAAATGCTGTTTGATCTACCTTGAACAAATAAAAATGATGATCATCTTTTTCCAACTGCTTTTCCTGTAACCCTAATAAGTAGGTTAAGGACATGAAACTAGAGAATTAACGATTGAAAAATTTGGTGAAACAATGGAAAATAGTTTTAAAAAATTCAAATATACTCAAATATAATTGTACTTTGAAAGTTAGATTTAAGGACGTTTGCGCATTTTAAATTGGTATAAGCAAACACATTAAAAATTGAACAGTGAGATGAACTTGTTAAATAAATGCATTGAGGCAAACCTTCCACACCATCTTGCAGGGTATTATAAATGAGCATTTAATGCCTCACATAACAATGAATAAACCAACACTACATATAAATAATATGCTACATGGTTAGGATACGTATGAGAAGTTTGCGAACTTGATCCATTCTAGCTGGGGTAATAAGAGGTTCTTTGGCTGCTATATCATCTAGTACTGCATCAACATCAGTACTAAAAGAAAAATTACATACATTAGAGAGTTAAGAGCAATAGTATTTGTGACCCTATTTTCGAAAACCAAGCTTAAGGAAATTAGCCATTTCATTTAAACGCATTTCAGACCACAGAGAATGCATTATCAAACATTACTAACGTGTTGAAAAACATTCCCAATGTTTTGGAAAACATTCTCAGATCGTGGATGTAACRTTTGGGAAATCATTGAAAAACATTCTCAACACTTTGGGGAAACATTCTCAGATCATTGGTGTAACTTTTGAGAACTCGTTGAAAAACATTCCCAACGCTTTGGGGAAACATTCTCATTATTCATTTCAAGGTTTTATCAGATCATTGTGAAACATTTACATTGCAGTGAAGAACATTCCCAATGCATTGCAAATCGTACAGAATGCATTGCAATGCTTTTCATCACTAATTTCCTTAAGAATGGTTTTCGCAAATACGGTCACATTTACCAAAAACCTCCTCCACTATAAGGTTTGAGTTTAACTTTTACAGCAGCTTTGTCATAGTGCTAATCAATTGAAATTTTTTCCTTGGGGAAATAAAATCAATTATCTTTTTGCCCTTACTAGCCTTTTCAATATGCTACACACTCACCAAGATAGAGAATCTAAATTTGTTTTTTAATTTTAGGTAAATGGACAATAGATTATCTAAAATAGACAATAGACTACCATCAATCAAATATATCATTCCCATGTAGCATTATGTACTTTCACAATTTCGTTAATTGATTTTTTCGCCCATTTACCTATGCAACTTTTGTCTCAACGAAAACAGTCATTCGCGAAAATTCCTGCCACATATTGCTTGATGAACTCCTACCTTGGTTTTAAGTCTAGTAGATCAATGGACTTGGACTTCTCTCTACCAGATTGTTCATATTCTAATATGATTCCTAGTAATAACCACACAGTTAAAGCCATTAGTTTTATCATTGTGATAGGTATATATGTAACCAAGAACCTATCAACCTATCAGAAATCTTTTCTTAATATATTAGAGTGAAGGCATTTAACCTGTGAAATATATATTTGACAAATACACATTAGTAGACCCTAATAATACATTGTTTTCTATTGTCTATTTAACTATTACACGCTGACTAGTACTACTGTAGTACTGTATTTTTTATTTCATGGGTTAAATGCCTTCACTCTAACAGTGTGAAATAGATATTAGACTAATACACTTTAGTAGACTTTAATTCTATTTCTTTCTTTCATGTCTATTTCACTATTACACATTGACTTGTATTATTTATTTCATGGGTTAAATAACATATTATGGCATTTGCAGGACTTGAACCAGCAACCCAACCCATAGGCTTCACAGTGGTGAAAGGCCAATGTTTTATCAATATCCTATACCCAATATTATTAACTATATATAGTTAGAACTGTATCTTGATGTATACCCAAATAGAGAAACAGCAGTTTTAATATGAGAGGGAAAGTACTGTACAGGGAAGAAGTGTAGCCATACTATGTGTACCCAACAAAATGACCGCTCACCAACAGGATTGGCTTCATAGCTCAGTTGGTAGAGCATCGCACCGGCATCGCGGAGGTCATGGGTTCGATTCCCTTTGAAGCTTGAAATCATTTTTTCAAGTCTTTCTTTACAGCGTTCGCTTAGATCGCTCATTCACTGTGATGATCAACACATCTATCATACTATATATATCATACACTAACCTCAATAATTAAAGATTGTGGTTGGATGAAATAGTGGCAGAAAATGGAGAGCCATTTAAATTTTACAGTATGTCATACTATGTAGTCTATCAGTGATGAGTACCCCCTTTGATGGACTTTAATAAATGTAGATGTAAATGTACATCAGGTCCCTTGCAAGGAATTTGAAAGGGGAGTTTGTTTTTTTTACCAATCTTAGTTATGCCATTTCTTGGTCAACATGTTATTGCATTATTGGATTTCAATGTTGTTGTTATTTTGAGAGAGTGGGGGGGAGGGGAGGGTTATTTGAACCACCAAACCATCTCTTGACAGGACTGTACATGCTGTAACTCTTTGCCCTATATTTCCAATGCATACCAAAACTGCTTTGTTGTAAATTATTTTACTCTTTTACTTCGACGAAGGACTAGCGTCCGACATGTCAGTAAGTTTTTTCATCTTTTCACGGTGTATAATTTACCTTTTTATCATATACTGTTTCATTAGAAACACCGACGCAGCTCACACTAGTTTTTATCTAGTTATCTCTTCTTCGTAAATTATAACTATTTAGCAATATTACTTCTCGAGCACAAATGGGCTATAAGTCAATAACCTGTGAGGACAAAGGCCATATGCTATAACATATAGCCTACTAGTAGCTCATCCAATCAGAATGCAGCATTGATGATAGACCACCAATACCCCTTTTTACAGTTCCATTCAGTGACCACAAATAATAGATCCTAACCGAGGCTGGAGTTTCCATGCATAGCAAAACTACAGTTTATCATGCGCGGTAACTCCAGCTTTGGCTAGAAACTATTATTTGTGGTCACTGAATGGAACTGTAAAAAGGGGTATTGGTGTTGACTAATTCTAAATAGCTTGTAAGAATATGCCAATAACAAACAGAGACTTGAATACCCTATAATAAATAAAGTTCCTTGTGGCTGGCAAGTGATGGTTGAAGACTGCACTTTGTGTTATGTTTGTACTAGATATATTTACAATAAACAACAGTAAAACAAGATGCAAAAAAGAATGATTAGACTTGCAGCTACACTTAGCTTGGGTGAACATGGAGGCCGGACATAACAATATTTGAACAGTAGTCGTCTTGTGATCAAAATAACAAAAATAAATTGTGCATATTTTCTCTAATTTAGTGTCTAATTACCCCGCTTAATATCCACGTTGGAATAAAACAAGCATATAGCTTCATCTCTCTTAAAGCTTAACAGCTTTTTGATAATTTAATGACATGGAATGCCATTAAAAATAAACTCAACAACTGGTAACCAAGGAAGAAGTGGTTATCTTTTGACGGGAAGAAGAACTGGTTATCATTTGGCGGGGGGRAAACAAGGTAGTCTTAAACTATTTTGTATAGGTATAGGATGTATTGGTATACTGACCTGGAGGATAATAACGCAGTAGAAATCTTTTTAGCCTCATTTTTTCACAGGATTTGTTCTTCTGCAAGCCAAACTGCATTCCAATATGGCGCCTGATGTGCGCGCGCACGTATTTCGGGTATGTACTTCGTGTGCTTTGCCGCCAAAGTCCCCTCTAAATGGTTCGTGATGACATCACATCTTATAAGATGCCGTATTTGAGTTACTACGCGTGCTTTGATTGGTCGCGACGCTCGAAAAACCATGTTTATGTCAGAGGAAGGAAAACACGCTCAGTTCATTTCGTTTATTTTATAAAAGCAATATAAAACGTCCGTGCGTGTCTTCATAACTTTCTGGAGAGAAATTAGAGAATGACAAAAAAATAAAAACAATCTTTTTTTCAGTAGTTTGGTATTATAAACTGTAAATTATAATAGTTTTATATATGGCTAGTTGTGGCTCATTTCCACCAGCTTCCAGTTCTTACCCGTGAGATTTAAAATTTTGAAAACATATTAATGGCCAGAAGACCGATAAAATGGGCTTCTTTTATTTCTCCATTTATTACAAACTGCTATAACTATACATATTGCTAACAGTACTATATACTGACCGTTCGTCTGCCTTTCTCGTTAGTCTTTCTTTATTTTTTTTATTTTTTGTTCAGTTTATTTTTTTAATAGTCGGTTCATAAAACGAACAGCAACTAGGCGTCATTATGCATATAGCCACTGATTCAAATTAAATCATGTTCAATATTTCATATTCTCTTAGTGTTCGTTTATCCTTTTACTGCGAGCCTGGCCGTTTCTTCGTTATTACTTCAGTATAATACTCGCAAGAATTATCTTAAACAATACGATAGATTTCCTAGACTTTGGTAGAATATCACGCATTTTATAAACCTGTCGAACACGGGAGATGTTGGTTAGTAGTTCAGTTGTATTGTAACAATAAAATCAGTGTTTCCTTTCCATGGATCCTTGACCGAAGTCATCTTTAAATGATGAAGTATCTATAAGCCAGACGCCGGAGCCAGGCCATACCGATACACCTTGCTCAATAAGATTTTGAACATTTGCCACCTCGTGAGCTAATACACGGCTATCGACAATTAATCTATATTTTCGTCTTGTCCAACATTCATTTGACGTAGTATTTGAAGCATTATCAATCGAGAAGACAGCCATGCACGTTATTATACTCTCTTTTCTTCAAGCATGCTTAAGTGATCAGTAAAAACAAACTGCACTTATTCACCTTGTTGCAAGTACATCTGTCTGTTATACGGGCTTTTCAAACAATTGACTCGCAGTTTTTTACATCTAGTGCTTCGTCCATAAGTCGCTGACAGTGTTTTTCACCAGAGTGGTCTGTGCCGAGTGATGGCGCTTCTACCTCGGCGCCGCATTCAGTTTCCTTTTTATGTAACTCGTAACAGGTTCTCGATAGCGAGCATATCATGTAGAATATGGCTACTCCCAGAAATGAACCAAAGATACCAAGAAGAATGACGGAAATCATCACATCACAAGAAGACCGATCAGTCAAACTAAATGGAACAAGATCTTTATACCTGAAGAAGGTCTTGGATGATTTTATTGGGTGAAGAATATTACTTTGGATATTACTTGGTAGTCACGTATGACTAGTAAAAAGACGATAATCACAAAACGAATCCATATATACTTAGTGCACTGAACAATGAACATGGAAGACGGCATGTGATAATACAGAAATTTAATTAACATATTCACAGACTACCCTACATCCATTATCGTTTAAAAATGCTAAAATAGATTGAATCAACCTGTCTTACATCACGTACTCGCGGGGTGCCTTATACTCAGTTCATTGACAAAACAATTCAAATCTTTTTATAATCTTACTTCCAGTCATGCAATTTTTCTTCTATCACATTAATAACAAATATTGTCACAAACTTAAAACATTATGGATCAGAGTGAGCTTTTGGATTTCCTGTTTTTAATTCACAGCTTTAACTGAACACTGTTGATTGACAGTCAATCTTCTGTCGGTCGCCTATGGCAACAGGGACTAAGAATGAGATAGTTTATCTAAATGATGGTACTATTTAGTATTAGTTTAGAAGAAGCCGTGAGATACATTTGTTTTTATTTCAAATACACAATATTATACTGAAGAAAACGATGCCTCGCACATCTCTTCGCACACCCCGGCAGACTGACGCACCTCACCGACCGAATACCTTGCACACAATCGGCAGACTGACGCACCTCACC